TGGCGGGGCTGAGCTTTCCACATCCAAATTGGTGGGGACGGCTCAACGGAGCAATCCGAGCTTACCTCCGACTGCAACTGATTGATTGGGATCCACAAGTAGACATCATAACCTCAACATGGGTTTGTGGGTTCTACCCTGAGTTCAGTGCCCTGGTTATATTGGGCATGTTGCTCCTTTGTAGCCACAGACGGACATTCTTGCCCAGGGAGGTTGTTTAGAAGCTCAGTGTCTTCACGTTTCAAAGGATCCGTACAGGATGCCATTCAGGCAAACCACCAGAGATGCGAAGGTGGAGATGACTGTCTCGGGGAAGAGTCGTTTACCTCCCCACCAAGGGTGTTGAAGGGCCTTTCCCCAAGCCAGAGAGCTGTGCCTTGCACGATTTTCCGGTGGACCAGTCGTCACCAGTCGTCCGTCGTCGTGAGCGACCAAGCGACACGGTTCCGCACAGCAGTCGTTCGCCAGGCATGGTGCATCACAACCTGGTGGTGAAGGGTCCGCTCTTTCCCCTCTTCCCTGATGGCTGGACCGGGCCACAGGCGCTGCGCTTGAGCAGCCGGAGACAACGGGGGGGCTCAGCGCGGGCGAACGCTCGCTTCATGGCGTCATGGTGAAGGGAGTGGAGGCTGAGGCTGTGTATCACAATAGGGAGTCCGGCAATGACCCCCCCTGGAAGGTGTAGGAAATAGACCAGTCTACCCATTGGTGCAGGGGTCTCCCTATTAAGATACACACCCACATGAAGAGGGACCAAAGCCTCTCTCATTGGAACCAACATGAACCAACCTACTGCTTCAGGATGATTGGGGGAGGGCGTCCTTGTCTTGCTTATTTTGCCCTTGAAGATGCCAGCGAGCTGCTCAATTACATCCTGTTCTGTACATTCAGACATCCAAAAGAGATGCTCAAAGCACGCTTACCATTCAAAACTGCTGGTCAACCAGCAGATTAAACCGAATACGGGGGGAAGCATATATGGGAATGATGCTGAGAACAACAGGGAACCTTCATCCTCGCTCATTGCTTTCGGAATTATATAATATCCCCGAGTTTGACTCTGCGGACAAACATACATCCAAGGCATTCAAAGGCCTCTGATAGGACCTGCCCTTTTCTCAGCGATAGTGGACCTCTTGCTTTTCAAGAGACCGCAGTTTCTGATGTCTCTCCTTGGGGATGGAGATGAGCGGGAGAGAAGAGTGTCTGAACATGTCTGGGTGGTTTCAGATATTCTTATTTTCAATTTTTCAACGTTGACTTGGGATGATTGAACCATATTGAACCCACAGGTCCTCAGATTTTGCGAGTTGAGACCACTTGGTCCGCCTCCCTACACCCATTGCCAAAGGCCAGTATGAGGGGGTTAGTTCATTCAGTGATTTCACTGGAATGTGCCATCGAGGAATGAAAGAGGAGTGCATCTACAGAAAGCACTACCCTGGTAAGACTGTACAATCCTCCCTTCAGTAAGAAACGACATACAAGCAGGAATAAGAAAAAAACGAAATCGAAACAACGTCAACGACATACAGGAAGACAAACGCCAATTACATAACCCTTGCATCTAATTTGGCACCCAGGGAGGAGTCATGGCAGCAAGGTTCTTATGTTTCGGAATTGCAACACAAGTTGATTGCTGCAGCTTGCTTCTCGTGTGCGCACGATATTCAGGATGTGTTGGAATCTCGCTAAGAGTGTCTTGCGCCTTCAAATGGCATTGTATATGGCAAAGAGTTTTATACTGATTGCTTTGTCCACCTCGTCTGCATTTGGTAACTGTGAAGGGAGCGCAAAGCCATCAACCACATGTAGACGCGAGGCTTAATGTGCGCAAACTAGTCGCATTCCGGATGGCGAGGGAATAATTCATGCTGTGTAAAGCGAGCCAGAACTGAGAGATGGAACGAAGGGAATGTGTTTGCACATGTAGCGTTCCCCTATGCGGTGGCAATAATTGAGCCTCCGGATGTGCATAAGCAATATAAGCATTGAGCAAAGAGGATACTGCCACAGTGATGTTTCTCCCCCAAACACATGAGGCTGCAACAATAAGAACAGAGGGATGGATGGTTGGCCAAATTGGGTCTTTACAAGGCACCAGAATTCTTTGCATAGCTGAATCAGAAGGCTCCCCGTCGCATTCTGTGCTCCGTGTTTGATGCTCAAAAGCTGGCAGGGCTCGTGGGATTTGGACAGCACTGCCGGTTCGCTGTGCCTTGGGAGATGGAATTCACAAAGGGCCAGGCGAATTCACATAGGGCAGAAGGATGGGATGGACATGGGGCCCGAGATCTTCTTGAAGTTCTTCATTCAAATGAATTGAACCATGTGACAGGGAGGAAACACTGGAACTGGACCAGAGTTGAAGTCATGCAGTGGGCCTTAGATGCGAGTACAGACCCCCCTGAATCTACTCAAGGACAATAATGTTTTCTGAGGTGAACAGACAAGTTATATATATATATATATCCACAGTTTATCAATCCCCAATGTGATTCTTTGGTGTTGCGGAAAAAGAGCTGTGTGGAGACCGGAGCTTGTCATTTTGGTTGAACACTATTAGAAAATACCTGGGATCTTCTTGTTGAACAACTCCTGCGGCAAACCTTGAGGCCGCAGCGCAGAGGAGACCTGGATCTGTCCTCTTCTCCGTAGCACGAACATGTCCGGATCACGCCCGGACCGCTGAGGAATACCGGTAGCTATGGCCTCTAAGAACAGTTTCGAGGCGGGATGGGCATCGTCCAGTGCCCTCGCTGTTTGGGATTCGATGTTCACTCAAAAGGAAGCTTGGATGTCTTCTCAGTCCGATCTGGAAGAAGAACTCTTTGGTGCGTCGCCACCGTGGCGACCAGTAGAGTCGGGTGCAGGTCTTTCTTCTTTCGGGGTGACTTTCTAGAATCAACAAGTGGAAGATAGGCACCGCTGCAATTCTGAATGGCACAGTTCGGCAAAGCAAACGGCCAAGTTTGGGAAGACTCAGGGAGACTCGTCCGTTCCCATGTCAGAACACATCTTGCCAGTTGGCGCAACGCATGGCCCCGGAGTCAGGAGTGGCATCGAAGCCTCACATGAACGGCTGTGGGTCCAAACATGTCAACACCTGGAGCCTGGTGCCATGACCCACAGCCGGGGAGACGAATAACTACTCGTATAACTACTCGTATGGTTGCCTAGAAAGGGCAGCACCATAGCTCATAAGATAATTAAGTTAGGCAAAGCAATCAGCCTATACAATGCAATCGGACAGCTAACGGACAAGACAAACATGCCACTCAGAGTTTCGATGCTGCGGTTGAATGGTGAGACAAGGACCTGTCTTGAAGTGACGCCAGAGACAGCCAGAGACAGATCAAGGACCAGAGGGTTGAAGCAACAGAGAAGAGGACCTGCAGCTTTGGGACGAGGTTGCTCCCAGCACTACTGTGGTTGAGGTTGTTGTTGGAGATGGGTTGCTTGACAATGAGAAGGTGGCGGTTGGCCAAGGTGGCCATCCCGGACTCAGTCATTGACTCAGAGACATTCGGAATATGGACTCACTCAACCACATTCAATCACCCATGCGCCCATGCGCTCTGCCCGGACCGGTGACCGGTGCACCGGACCGTTCAGGTGCGCAAGGTGATTAGACCCGCCTGGCCATGGTCTTTTTGAGCGCTTGCCTATCAAGGCCGGTTCGTCCGTGTCCACCCACCTTCGCCGGGTGGGTGGACAGAACGGAACAGGAGAAGGGTCGGGGCCGCTGGGGTGGGGTGGAGAACGGTTCGGCTGTTTGAAGAAGTGAAGGTGTTGTGACAGGGGCTGAAGCCTAGAAGTCCAAAGACTGGCCAAGTAAAGGACAATTCCTCTTTGGGTCACCCAAAGACCATTTCGTAAAAATTCTTAAATGGTCTTGGACATCCAGGCTGAATGAAGGACACCTCAAGGCAGCTCTTGAGCCGGGCTTGGTTGGTTTCGCGGACAAAAACTAAATGCGGACGCAATGGCCAGGCTGCCCAGTTCAGGCCTTCCAGAGCCTCGTTTTGGTGGTGCATTGGTCGACCATATCAGGCCATGTCCATCTTCCAATTCCAACGGATCTCCCTCCTTCACCAGAGCCCACCATCGACGAATCCTTTTAGACACTCAAACGTGGTGCTCCAAACCGTGGCGGTCACGACGTCTGGTCCGGTCCGCCACGCTGCGAACGACACCGGGACCGACACTGGGACCGGTCGGTCGGGCTATATGTCGTGACCCCTGTATACTTGTAGTTGATGTGAGAAGACACACGCCACACAGGCAGGGCAGTGTGAATCTCTTCACGGATTCTTTTGAGATTGAGAGGGCTCCTGTTGGTTAGAAAGGCGCCGTATGTTTGTCAGCCTGAACTGCCCCTATCAACACGTGTCGCATCCAGACTCCCAGGCTGCGACAGAGAACGCGACCGGAAAGGAACCGCGGGGCTTGGCGGGGAAAAAGCTGCACACATGGTGCCAACATGGTGAGGGAGGGTACCATGTTTCAGTCAGCGGAGGCCAAACTGCCTAGCTTCATCCGCGGGGTGAACTTGGTGCGAGATGTTTCTTCCGTCTCGCCGGTCTGATCGAACGAAGACCGACGAGACGGCCTGGTCGGCAGACTGGGGATCTTTAAAAAACTCGGGTCGGAACCCGGAATTTTCGAGACCTTTCCTCAGGTGCTTACCAAGACGATTGCACTGTTTGTGGTGATACTTCCGGTGTGTTCCTTTGGGACTCATCCTGCTGGAACTGGAATCGCTGGCTATTCGCTCCCCGTCAGTTCAGTTCTAGCGTCTTCTAGTGATTCTCCCAAGCTTTGAGAAGATTGTAGTTGACATCTGACTCCCTTCCCACCATGCATTGTCCAGTTCGGCATGGCTCAAACATGCAAGTAACTTCCACTGCACCACACTCCAGACGCGTGCGCCCCGCGCCCTGCGCCCCGCGCGCCGCGCCGCACAACGTGCACGCGCCACGCATGATGTCACCGCTGGTTGGCTCAAGCCGCCGCCCCTGGCGGCCCGTTGTGGCCCACCCCAGGGGGGAACGAGTTCGCCGCGGCCGTGGGCTGCGTGTGCTGCGGCCGTTTTGGCCAAGCTGTAAGGCTGGTGATGGAGGGCAAACGATAAGCGTGGTTGGAGGAAAAGGAGTGTCCTGAACACACACCTTTCTGGTATATGCATGTCATGTATACTATGTTGTATTTTGGGAAATACCAAGGAGAGGAAAGACGGACGGAAGGAAGGAAGAAAGAAAGACAGGAAAAAGGAAGAAGAAGAAGACCTCAGCCTGCTCATGCAGGGAAGATGCGTCATGGCATAGCCTCAACCACAATACTCAGCCCCATTCCCGAAAGTGGACATTGGCAACGAACAGGCTCATGGCGAGAATTGCGCCATATTCGGAGGACAAGGGGATTGAAATCGAGGGCACTGGATTGAGACAGCTTGCGGTGCAGCTGAATGGACGCTTTTGGGATCAAAGATGCTAGGAATTACGGTACAAGGTGCAAGTACAGTATCGCCTGGAACAAGGTGCAAGGTGCAAGTACTGCCGCCGCCTCCCAAGCTGTGGTAGATATAGTCATAGTAATAGTAATAATAAGTAGATGAACATGCCTATTTGGCTCATGTAATTATATGGTTTGAGAGGGAGGCCTCCCCCACTGAAACAACCGGAAAAGCCAGCATTGGGATCACCACTCGTTGGCAAGAAATGGGACACCGTAGAACTTGTATTCTTTTTTTTCTACCTGGGTACCATTTCTCCCAGTGGCACATTGAGATGGGTCTTGTCAAGGACTAATGGAACCTCAAGAACCCTCAATGTCAAGATTCCTACTTTTTTGCTTTTCTTTTCGAAGAAGCACAAGTAGACTCCGACTGACGAACGGGTCCGAGAAGCATGTGAACGTAACTTGACCGAAAGTTCATTGTTCTCCCACGATCTGAAGCTAATGGATCATCCTGGAATTGGATTGTAACTAAAGGGGGGCCATGATTTTGAACATTTGAAGGAACCAGACACCTGATTTATAGCCCTTGGCTGCCCTTGGCTTGGCGGCTTAGTGAGTGGGTTAGCCCCCTCGGGTTGAATTGCCCGGCCCTTTTCCTGGTGGCTTTGTATGGATTTGTATTGCTGATGGGGAGACCTTTCTGGCCCAAGAGCTTTTTGAGCTTTTTTCCTGGGAATCCAACTGGAACCTGTCCAATTTCACAACACAGCCATGCTTGGCAGGCCAGATGGATGGCCTCCGCTGGTCCGCTCCGTGATTGACCGTTGACACCGCGCTTATTGCCCAGGATGGCCCGCCCGCACCCGCGCCTGCGACGCCGGGGAAGAAGACCATGCGCTTGCCCGGGCGGCCAAGACGCGCAGTTGTGCGAAGTTCGCCGGTCGTGGTCGGCGCCGTGGGGGGGGGTTGAAGTATCCAAGGTCCATAGTCCATAGTGCTTCGGGGCCATGGTGGGGCCGACATGGCAAGGAGGATTTGGATAGAAATCAGGAGAAGTTGGAGGAGGCTTCAGTTTGGCCTTTGAATTGCAGCCTCAGAGCTGGCGTTGGTGTTCCTTTCAAGACTGCATTCGATCAAGTTTTGGAGCAAAGGCATGTGTTCTGTGCCACTTCACCATGGACATGACCGTCACTTCGGACGTGACCAATCCTTCCCACTCGCAGGACAGTGGCACCACCAACCATGCAGGATCCAGATCAGAGACCGAGGCGCTTTTCGGATCGCCTGGGGGCGGTCGAAGCCGCCGGTCTAGGGGTGAGTCAAGAGGTTGATCATCTGGCAAACCGAAAGGGGCCAACCCCATAGCGGATACCCTACCCCTTGATTGAAAGGTAGCTCATTGCCTGCATTCCAAAACACTAGAAACCAATGCCTGGCCAACCCAAAAGATTTTCGGCTTTGGGGGCACTAAGAATTCTGGTCCGCCACCCAGATGGTGTTCGCTGATTAGGGAGCCCCCCTGAGGCACAATTTACTTTGTGTGCATTTTGCATTCCGCACAAACAAGGATCTCAAGACTATGCCCAGAATCCTAAAACCAAACCCACACACAAACCACACAACAAAGAACGATGATTTGGAAACTATGCCTAGAATCCTAAAAACCACAAACAAAAAAAATGCAGATGAGTTGGACACTAGATTCATGCTACAAAGGTTGGGACTAGTTTCGAAAAAACGGTTTAAGTTTTTTGTGGTTTTGAGATTCTGGGCATAGTTTCCACATCATTGTTTTTTCCCTGGTTGGGGACTCATACATGTTGGGTCTCGCATTAGTGTGGACAGCATTTGGTAGAGTCGTTGTTAAGGGATGGATTAATGTACAAAGTAGTCTATAAAGACAGCACGTGTTAATACACAATGCCTTCTGACCTTTATTTGCAGCATTTCAATCTGGAACGTGCCATCTCATTCGGTCTTCCGTTTATCACTGTTAAGAATTGGTACAGTCCACAAGCCAACAAAAACACATTAGTTTTGCAGTTTAGATGGTGGAACTAGTGTAGAATTAGGGATTACAGGTTCAATCAAACCTGGCAACGGAACCATATGTAACCTTCGCAGTTGCAGAGGGAGGTGGTGGTGATAGTGGTGATGGGTACTCTGATATCCAGATTGATGGGTTTTTTAGCATTCAATCAAGGCGCAACAACTTACACCAAAACAGAAGTTGGCATTAACAACAAAAGCAAACCAAGCCAGTACAAGTGTATACCAAACTGAAGTAGATACCAGCTTAGGCTTGAAAGCCACTAGTGCAGATTTGTATATACGAGCGCAAGTATATATATATATATATATCAATACACACATCATTAGCATTAGGAGCAACCTTTATATATCACATATTCAGGAAATATGATTATATAAATATTGTAATACATGAAGCAGGAGTTGCAACGTGAAGGTGGTTTCAAATCCATTATCACAGCTACATTGAACTTCACTGATCTAGTATTATCAAGAGATGGAGTTGAGTATCGTCAGTTAGATGGCACTAATAGTGTTTAGAATGTGGCTAAAATACCACAAGAATATCAACAGGTGACACATACGCACATATATAATATTAGTGACAGGCAATTGGCAGTTGATACGATCCTTCATGGTGCTCATGAGATACAAACATGCTACATCAGTATCTGATATTGTATCAGGCATAGCTTTTTCACTTGGCTGAATTCACGTAGACTCATTAGATAAACTACTGATGACAGAGTAGAATTAGATAAGCCAACAGATACAACAGGACGTGGTATATAGGCTTGACTGTTTTGATGGTGTTGATTAGGCAACAGTATATAGACAAATAGCTGCATGTGCGGTTGGTGGTGGTGGGCCAATACTGGTGTCAGGATTGGCAACGCTGAAGGTTGCTTGACAATTAAAGGAGCCCGTAGATGGAACAAATGAGCTGACTGCTGTTCATGTTGTGCTTCTGATTCGGGTTGTTGTGCTGTTCATGTTTTAGGTGAGGCTAATTGACCAAACACTGCTAAGCTCCAACGGAACCAACGGACACATTTTGGAACCGAATGATGGAGCAAAGAAAGGAGTAAGTGTTTTACAGTGGCTTGAATGATGATTATTTGCAATTTATTTTAGGAACCTTGATAGAATAGTACAATCTTAAAGAATACCAGCACTTATTTTAACATATATATAAGTTATAAGTAAGATACATAAAGGCACTATCGTAAGTACAATGACAGTTTCGACAATGACGATTGCATCTGTAGTAGGATGGTGAGGAGTTCATGAGGTGTACACTACAACTGCCGGATACATAGAACTAGCCAAAGGGTTAGCCACTCACTCACTGCCCGCATACATTGGGGGGGTGTTGCCAAACCGAATCAAAACGCGTTTTGGGCACAGAGTTTGGCCCTTCAAGAGCAGGGAATGTCCAACAGGGCGTTCCAACAGGTGGCAGTGGATCTGTAAGGACAGAGATCCTTTACGGGACACCTTCAATCGTACGATGCCCGTTGGATAGACGCCAGTGAACAGACAGAGGATGGCCACGTGACGCTTGCTCTACAAGCTACAGGCAAACCACAGCCACAGTTTAATGTCCTGTACACTGTAGACATTGTACATTCCGTATGCATGGCTCTCCCCATAGCACAGACGTAGTCGCATGGAAACTGCAGAATGCAAGAGGACCACTTCGACAAGCAGTTTAGCAGACATGCCAAGAGTGAGGTTGAGAGATCTTATAGGACCCCATAGTGGTACATATGGGATGGGCCGTTCAACCTCTCTTGGTGTGACATCAACACTAGTTGACATCCTGATTGCAGTGTTTGCAAATCGGCCATGGCAATGAGGCTTTCAGCATTGCAGGTCAATGGTGAAATGATTTACTTGGACGTCACGCGAGAGACGACGGGTGGAGAGATGAAACGACAAATCAAAGAGGGACAGCTTTGGGACAGTGATACTTGCAGAACAACCGAGGTGAAGATTGTTGTTGGAGACAGGTTACTGGGTAATGATGACACAGTTGCGGATGCGGGGCTCACTGCAGATGCTGTTGTTAGTGTTGTTTTCAAACCCAACATAGCAAGATGCTCCAACAAAGGTGAGATTGCCAGCTTGAGGAGTGATATTGACTTAGAACTTTTGCTCATAGTTGAGATCCCAAGCCAGGAAACTCAAATTGCCGCGAGGGCCTTCGATTACTGTAACCAGCTGGCCAAATTGATCATCCCGGACTCAGTGACCCACATAGGGGACACTGCCTTTAGCCGATGCAACTCCTTGGTGAACTTGACCATCCCGGACTCTGTGACGCACATTGGGGTTGGTGCCTTTTCTCATTGCAGATCCTTGGTGAACTTGACCATCCCGGACTCTGTGACCCATATTGGGAGTTGTGCCTTTCAGAATTGCAGCTCTTTAGCGAAGCTGACCATCCCGAACTCAGTGACCCACATTGAGAATAGGGCCTTTGCATTTTGCAACTCTTTGGTAACCTTGACCATCCCAGACTCAGTGACCCACATTGGGGATCGTGCCTTCGTGGATTGCAGCGCTTTGGCGAGCTTGACCATCCCAGAGTCAGCGACCCACATTGCAGAGTCAGCCTTTCAGAACTGCAGCTCTTTGAAGACATTGACCATTCCAGACTCTGTGATCCACATCGGGAATTATGCATTTGCGGCTTGCAGCTCTTTGGCAAGATTGACCATCTCGAACTCATTGACCCACATCGGCGATAGTGCCTTTAAAGATTGCAGCTCCTTGGTAGACTTAACCATCCCCGATTCCGTGTGCCACATTGGGGATCATGCCTTTCAGAATTGCAGTGCTTTGAGGAGCTTGACCATCCCGAACTCTCTTGGCCACATTGGAACCAGTGCCTTTCGCAATTGTAGCTCTTTGGTGAACTTAATCATTCTGAACGCAAAGACATACTGCTGTTTGGCCAAACGTACCATGCCAAACTCAGTGACCCAAATTGGGGATTATGCATTTGAGAATTGCAGCTCTATGGCGAACTTGACCATCCCAAACTCAATTACCCACATTGGGAATCTTGCGTTTGGAGGTTGCATCTCCTTGGGGAACGTGTCCATCCCAGACTCTGTGACCCACATTGGGAATTGTGCTTTTCAGAATTGTAGCTCTTTGACAAACTTGACCATTCCTCCCACCGTTGGCTATATTGGAAATTTTGCTTTCCAGAATTGCAGCTCTTTAGCCGACTTGACCATCCCGGACTCAGTGACTTGCATTGAGCCTGGTGCATTTGCAGATTGCAGTTCTTTGGTGAACTTGGCCATCCCCAACTCAGTCACCCACATTGGAATTTCAGCCTTTCGGAATTGCAGCTCTCTGGCGAGCTTGACCATCCCAGACTCGGTGATCCACATCGGGCGACATGCCTTCTGGGATTGCAGTTCTTTGATCAATTTGACCATTTCTGACTTAGTGACCCGCATAGATTCCGCCACCTTTTGGAACTGCATATCTCTGGTGAACTTGAGCCTCCCGAGCTCAGTGACCCACATTATGGATTATGCTTTTCAGAATATGAGCTCTTTAGCAAACTTGAGAATCCCGTACTCCGTGACCCACATTGGGAATTGTGCTTTTCAGAATTGCAGCTCGCTGGCCAACTTGACCATCCCGGACTCGGTGACCCACATTGGGAATCATGCCTTTCAGAACTGCAGCAATTTGGAGACCTTGTCCTTTTTGGTGACCTTGTCCAACCTGGACTCTGTAACCCACGTTGGGAATTGTGCCTTTCAAAATTGCAGCTCTTTGCAGACCTTGATCATCCCAGACTCTGTGACCCAGATTGGGAATTATGCCTTTCTCGGTTGCAGCTCTTTGGCGAACTTGACCATCCCGGACTCTGTGATTCACATTGGCAGTTGTGCCTTTCAGAATTGCAGCTCTTTAGCGAACCTGACCATCCCAGACTCTGTGACCCACATTGGGAATCATGCTTTCCATGGCTGCACCTCTTTGAACGACTTGACCATTCCACACTCAGTGGTGCACATTGGGGTTGATGCCTTCGCGGAAAGGGCTGCGACGAAAGGCCCCGATGACTCGGCGCGGGCGGAGCGTTTCGTCCTCTTCGTCCCTCCAAGCGTTGCAGGTCGTGCTGGCGTGCCTTTCGGGAAACTTGTCGGGAGCCCAAACGACGCGGACGGATGCACACGGGGACATGGTTTAGTTGATTTAACTTACATATTTCTTGGAGACGTCAAGTGTTGTACTCGTAACAAAATCACAACTATAATCAGATTCTACTTGGTATATAAACAACTTCCTGATGCGTTCGTAACCGTTCGCAGGTCCTGAAGCAAAAACACGACATCGGCCACACAAATGCGCTGAGGTACTGCTGGAGATCGAAAAGAAACCGCTGACACGACTTGCGCTCTTCGATCTTACTGCAACGACTCCTCTCTTCTTTGCTACGAGTATACATCCAACCTTGTCCCACAGACTTGCTTTTGGTATCAGAAATGATCACGAATTATTTTCTATCGAATGTTTGCCTTGCGCATGCCCTTCGGATAGAAATCTCTTCTGGGCAGACTTTTATTCCAACCGGCACCGCAACAGCTCCCCAAATCACCCGAACGCACCCGGTCGCGAACGCTCCCGTCACGCACGACCGCGGTCGCTCTTGACTGAGGCATCGAGTCGCAGACCGTCGCCTGGATGACCGTCGCGCTTCGCGTTTGGCGGCGCCGTGTAAAGCACATGCGACCTCTCCGGAAGTGGTGACCGTGCGTCACACGTTTTCACCGGGGGGAAGCGGGTGTTTTCAATCCACTGGAAGTATGTTCCACGCTTTTCCGTGTTGGAATGGTGGTATTTCCGTTTTGCGCTCTCCTTGTTGACGGGGTGGATCAAATCACTTCTATCATCTATCTAACCTTATAGAATAACCACATATCTATATGTATGAGGGTGCTGGTATAGATACAAATATATATATATATACCAAAGACTAGAGGTTCTCTAGTCTCTAGTCTATGCTTATTCAAGAGTGAGGCCGTTTTTTCTTCTACGACCACTTCAAATCAGAAATGGAGAGACCACGCTCGCACACCAAAAGTGGCTTTGGTCGGGTGCTAGTGCTAGGCATGCCTTTGCATTAACTTCCAAGCTCCTACAAACCTGCTTGGCTTCTTCCTTTCTCGCAACTCGCACCTTTTTGCATGTAAAGCTTGGGGGAAAACCCTGCTTTAAAAACTGGGAACCACTGGCTTGGCATTTGGAAACTCATCTTTCCTGACATCAACCTTTGCAGGTGCCCGGCTCCCGGTTCGGCGCCTAGAAAAGACTCGCTCAGGGCCAAGCGGTGAGGAAGTTCATCCGTGGTAGGCGCGCACGCGGGTGGGTGAGAAGGCATGAGCGGATCCGGGTACCCGTTGTTTCCTGGGCGTCATGATATTTCCCTCATTTGCTTCATAGCTAGGGAATAACATGAATACACACAGACACAATATATATATATATATATTTGTACAAGGTATATGCATACTAGCTTGTCATTATGCTGACAGTCAGGTATACGCATATGGTTGCCATGTTTTGGAACACGTGTTGAACATACACTTAATCTTACAGAAAGGGACCCTGTGGGGGCCTGCGTTTTCCAATGTTTCTAAAAAGCTATTGTTTTCAATAAAATCACTTTACATATATATATATATATATTTTACTTTTCTTATAGATTACTTTGGAATATATTTAAAACACAAAATATGTGTGCAACAATAGCCAAAGCTTATGTGCCACACAATGTAGCCAAGGAACAAGGACGTCTCAATCTGAAGGTGGAAGAGAGGGATCTCTGGGGAAAGCAAAAAAACAACATAAAGAGCATTTGGCAAAGGCTGGTAGGGGGGGGGTCGAGCAAATAAACAACACATATATTTTATATATTTTTTAATAAAGAGCATTTGGCAAAGGCTGGGAGGGGGGGTTCGAGCAAAAAAAACAAATCTGATAGCTTTTTAAATTTTTTTCGGCTCGACCCCCCCCAGATCCAGATTAGGAGCCTCTGGAAAGGCTAGGAGGAAGGATTGACCGAATGGTCGACCCTCCCCCTTCAGATTAGTATCCTTTGGCAAAGGCTGAGAGGGAGGGTCTACCAAAAAAAGAAAAATGGGGTCGACCCCCTCCTCCAGATTAGGATTCTTTGGCAAAGGCTGGCAAGTCTAGTAGAGCAGAGTGATGAAACCAAGTTTCTTTTGTATTTTGAAGCCACTTTTCACAATTGTTGAAATGTATACAACTGACTTGAAACTGAAGCATGCTGGTATTGCAGTATAGTGTGTTAAGATTGATGCTTTCACCATCTTTCACCATCAAAGCTGAAGATCAAAAGAACCCAAGTGAATGGCTTTTATCAACAAGATTGGAGGCTGGAGAGTGAGCAAGTATGTGGATATTAAATTACCAAATGATTTTTACCAAGTTGTAGAACATCAACTTGTAGAAATTTCAACATCTAAAGATAGATACATTCAAAATAATGAGTATGATTCTGATACTGATGATATTGTTAGTGACATTCAGAAAGTGAACCAAACAAAGATTAGGATATTACTTGCAGGAGCAAGCAACAGTCATATCTGCCAGAAAATGGTTGATAATGGTTGCACAATATTACTTGTATGGCCTACTAATGGGTTATCACATTACTTTGAAGTTTGCACCAGAACACTAAATAACAATATTTTTGGTCAACATTTTGGTGATGTTTAAATGGAACCATTTGATCAGTCAGAATTTGATGTCATAGCAATCGATCAAATCTATTTCATTTGTTTGAGTCTTTATTGCAAAGCCACATGGTTTGTTGAGCAATTTGTTTTTGCAACACGTGATACCGAACAACTAAAACCAGTTCAGGAGTTAACAATTAGGTACAGTATATCAAAGAGCTTCTTTTGCAGCACAATTGTTGCAATTAATAAAACACACATACTTTAAACTGAAGCATGCTGGTATTACAGTATAGTGTGTTAAGATTGATTCTTTCACCATCAAAGCTGAAGATCAAAAGAACCCAAGTGAGTGGCTTTTATCAATAAGATTGGAGTCTGGAGAGCGAGCAAGTATGTGGATATTAAATTGCCTAATGAATTTTACCAAGTTGTAGAAAAA